TTCAATAAAAAAGTACAGCTATTAAAATTTTTGTAAAAAGTAACTCAAAAAAATTACTTAATAACAATCGCTTTTATGTTAAAAGTTACCGAAACTCAACGAAGCGTGCTCAAGAACAGCTGCTGAAAAATAGAACGTCAATAGTTTTTCGAATAATTTTTAAGAATAATTTTTAAGAATAATTTTTTCGCTGAAATATGTCTTTTATACCTGTAAGATTTTTATTCTAACATTTTATCTTATTTTACCAAAAATAAAATTCCTTGTAAACATTAAAAATCTATTCAAAACGTTTGTTAAAGTTTTTTAGTAATACCAGTGATTGTGCTTATCAACCGCTTTATGAAAATAAATAAAAATAAATAATAAAAAAATATTATATAAAATCGCTAGTAAAAATATTAGCTATTGCACAGTTTTTAATCGTACAATATTAAAATTTCCAGTTTATGAATCGCTGGCTTTTTAAAAAGAAAAAATAATTATTTGAAAAACTTTAAATTACATATTTGAGAAAATCTAATATTAGCATATTTTATAATCTTTTTTAAATGTTTAGTTATGTTTTTTATTCGTTTAGTAAACAAAATGCGTCAAACGTCGAGAAAATAAACCAATGTTTTTACATTTTAAAAAATGAAACATTCCAAAACATTTTTAAATAATAACATTTCTAAATTAACGATTTAAAGTAGTTTTGCGGTAATTAAGTAAATTGGTGCAGCTAATGTCAATAAATATGAAAAGCCAATAAAAAGAATTTAATGACGTCAAAAATCACGTCGTGCTTATGCGTCGCGCATTTTTTATTCATCACAAGCCCTGATATATATATATATATATATATATATATATATATATATATATATATATATATATATATATATATACACATATATATATATATACACATATATATATATATATACACATATATATATGTATATAGGGGAGACCGGGGCATGTTGGCCCACGGGGTAGGTTGGCCCATTCGAGTTTATTCAATAACTAGATGTTTTAACAAGCTGGGAATCTAAGTGGAGGTCGGTAGTAATTTAATCCTTTTTACAAAAAAAAATCATTTTTATTGGACCATATTTGATTGTGTGGGGCTGTTATGCCAATTTTTGACACATTAAAGTAAATTTTGAACTACTTGTTTAACGTGTTTATACTCACTGACGTTTGACAGTACAGCATTATTCAAGAGCTATATTTAAAGCTTATAGTGTAAGGATTTTTTTAGTATATAATGTTCCACAAAATTAATTGATGGTTTAAGGTGAAAGTTGTTCATACACTGAACATGACAATGGGGCAGATTGGCCCGATGCAACTAAGGCACGTTGGCCATGTGGCCAACATGCCCCAGTTGCATCGGTTCATATTTTTATTATATATATGGAATTTTTTTTTTTTGCGATGGACTGAAAAAAAAGTTGCATTGAGATATCAATTTAAAACAATGTAGAAATGTCATTATGCACAAATATTAAATGTTTGTTTTGGTTGCTATTTTAAAATATAGAATTATTTCTTTCTTTCCTTAACATTTGATACAGTTTTTATCAATACAAACAAAACAAATAATATTATATATGTATTTGATTTTGTTTTACTTTTTCTTATATTTGAATTTATGGTTTTGCAAGTACATATTATTTTATTTTTTTAAAAAGTTATCAAGTAATAAACAAAAATTTTTTAATATTTCAAGAAACTCTGAAAAAAGAAAATTATTTTGCTAGTAACTTTGTATAGTTTAATAAATTTATTTTGAAACAACTGACAAATTTTTTTTTCTTGCTAGACATTTCTATTAGGGTTCGTCCAAAATCATGTAATTTTAACTGTTTTTGGCCACCTACTAAAAGATTTATTTAAACAAAACACAGTTTGAAATTTCTGAAAGTAATACTAATGAAATACCTCAAAAAAGATATTTTTTGGGGTATTTCATTAGGATTCTTTTCAGAAATTTCAAACTGTGGAGGTGAATCTAGACATATGAGAGGTCTATTACAAATGATTTTGAAATCTTTTAAATCCAGTGAGTTTTTTCACTTTTAGCTTTTTCCACTTTTTTTTTTCTCCTATGGTAGGTTTGTTTTTCACAAAATGAGGACAAAAAAAATCGTTTAATAATCACATCATGGCAAAAAACATCAGCAATGATTAGCAAAAATATTCTCAAACAGTTCTGGAGTTATTCTTAAACCTTCTTACTGTTATAATCAATGATACATCACAAAAGTTGTTGTGAATATTATAGATGTGTAACATTTCTTTTGTATCTGCCATATCATTATCAATCATTGCCATTGAAATGGCCATCATAGTAGGGCTAAAGTGGAATATGCAGTGCTGATGACCATCATAGTAGGGCTAAAGTGGAATATGCAGTGCTGATGACCATTCCTTTGCACCAAAGAAATGGCCATCAGCATTGGTTGATGGACATATCTAGGCAAAAGATCAACCACATCAAAAGATCAAAGATCACAACACCTAGCAACAAATGTAGCTCCATTGGTGGAATAGCTTCTAATAAAAGCTTTTGGTCTGGAAACTTTAACAGTGGTAGATGCACCACGTTTTGGAAGACATAAGATTTTCTCAAATTACCAGCTGAGCTGACTAACTAAGGTGGGAATTTGAGAAATTTTGAGTCTTCCTACTTCTTATACCACCAAAAGAAACTGCTATCAGCATTTGATGCTTGATATTAGTATTGTTTGATGATGTAGGTATCCTTAATCTGACAGTTTTCTGAAGTGGGCTTTAAGGCTCATCTTTATCTTGAACCAAAATGAGAGTAAAACTTACTTTCAAAAATTTTCCTCCTCCATCTATTCAAAGTTTTACAATAGCAGTCAGAAATTTTTCTTGTTGACATATTTTACTGAGCTTGTTGAGATCATGACAGTGAACAACTTGACTTGTGGTATTGAATACTTGTCACTGTAAAATGGATAATTGAGCTTTTGACCTGCTTGAGCAAATTTCTGTTGAAAAATAGGCTCCAAAATTCTGACAGGACTTAAAAGATACATAGCAGATCCTAACTTTCTCATCCCGTTGTTCAAATAACATGTGTTTTGCTGAATTTGCAATATATTTTGGGTTGTTAGAGGTTCTTTGAATAGTTGTTGTAGAGCTGAAGATTCTGTTGAAAAAAATCAACTTTTTAAATAATAACCTATATAAGACAAAACCTTTTAATGCCATAGTTAATAAATTTACCTCCTCTTGCTGGTAAATGGTAAAAGTTGAAAAGTTGAAATTGCATCATTAAAAGATCAATCCTAGCCTGCCACAACCTATCACAAAGATTAATCTACCACAACCGTTGATGCTACTTGTTCAGCTCCAATAGGATCAGAGTGGCGAATTCCAGGAGTGCACTCATGTGGAAGGTCTTTACCAAAAACTGACAAGCACTTGAAACAATGATTCTTAACTGGCGCATCAGGTTTAGCTGCCATATTCTTAGAGTTAAAGGATGTTTTTCATTGAACTTCAGTTTGCCAATTTAACAAGTTTAGCTATTTTTTAATTTTGCATTTTTATCATTTTTTAAAAATAAAGTTAATGAAACACACCATTTCAAAATAAAATAACAAAGTATTGATAAAATTTTTACTGCTATGTCGTAAAACGTAAATATCTCACTATCTATTGCTGACAGCACAAGCATAAAATGAAAAAGTTTTGCAAAGAGTTTCTCATTTGTTACTTAATTTTTTTTTTTTTTTTTTGTGGGACAAAATTTTGAACCTTATTTTGATGAAAAATAATAGACAAAAATTAAAAAAAAAAACGGGAAAAATTAAGTGAAAAAAGTCTCACAAAAATTTTTCAAATCACTTGCAATGGACATCTACTTGTGTCTAGAATTACTACCAAAATATCTTTTTTGGGGTATTTCTTTAGTATTATTTTCAGAATTTTTAAACTGTGAAAAATGCATAAAGTTACATTTCTTATAAAAAAATAAAATAAAAATACTGGAAGTTATATTGCATCTCAAAACTAAAAACATAATGGCTTTCTAAGACATTGACCTATTCGATTCTTTACAAAAATGTTTTTTGAATATTTATCAAATTAAACTTAAATCAAGTTAAAAAAATCAATATGTTTAGAACATTTAAGAAGTTTGTAATCGAGTATAGCAATTGATACAGAATCTAGTTGAGCAATTGTGTTAAATACAGAATGACATCATTTTTTGTTATTAACAGCAACATTCTATTCATATAAGGTTGTCAATAAGTACATACAAGTGGATTTCTACTATTTTAAGAAACTGTATTGATGAACATAAATGAATTTATTCATTAGTAAGTAGTCTGTAATACATTCTGCAATTACGGACTTCATAAATTAACAAAAAATTTAGGTCATAGAAACAACACAATAGTTTGTGGCTAAAGATTGTGGTTAAGTAAAATCTTTTATTTGACATGAATAAATAAATGGTTCTTTTTTATTATAATATATTTTATTATATATATATAAAAATGAATAAATACTGGTTCCTTTTTATTCTCTGAAGAGAATATAAAAAAATCTTTTAATGTACAATACACACTGATTTATTTAATGTAAAAACACTTTTTACATTAAATAAATCAGTGTATATTGCACTGTAATCTGCCTTAAAAAAATTATAATAAATTGATTTTTTTCTGTGTTGAAAAAAATGCAGTGGTTGCAGGTGCTTGTGACTTTAACAGTAGTTTCTAGATTCAATATATTTTTATGGCCGTTTTTAATCAATTTTTAAAATCCATTTAAAAATTGATTAAAATTGGCTTTAAACCTAACCTGCTAATTTCTACCTTTAAATTTTAGAAATTTATATAATTCTGTAGTAAATAGTTTATACTAACTATTATTTACTAAATTATGATAAACTATAATCCAATCAGGTTTATTATAATCTAATCAGGTTTATTATTATCTTATATTTAAATAAAAACTAGGTTTGGTTTTACTTGATTCTACAGCTTCAATGAGAGCTTCAGTGTCTTTACTTTGTATACAATCAATCAAGTGACGATGAGATTTTTCACCACTAACTTCTGCTTTTCTTGAGCTACTTACTTGTCCTCGAGCAACTGATGGATAAGACTTTGGTAGAGCATCTCTGCCTTCAAAGAGAAGAATCAGAAGAAAATCAACTAATCTCATAATGTCAAGAACACAGCGTTCATCTCCCTTCATTGCAGTTTCAATTGCTTCAAGAAGATTTGATCGCAACAAATCCTAAAAAAAAAAATTTTTTTTTACAAATATAAAATTCTTTACTGTTTATACTGAAGATATTACTTAGGCTGCATAAAACAATAACACAGAATAAGACTAAAGTTACAATGCTAGTGCTGAAAATATGTGTCACAAATACAAAATTAAAACTTGAATCTTTCAAAACATTCAATAGAATTCTTAGTTTATTAATATCTATAAAATAATATCTATTTTTTGAGTTCAATTTTTAAAATAATAAAATGGTTTTCGTGGTTAGCATTAAAAAAAATTTATAGCTCAAACTTTTTAAACAAAATGCTTTTATTTAAAAAAAAAATTGAAACATTGACAACACTGCTATGACAATGAAAGATTTTGTTCATAAATAAATATATAGATAACTTTGTGTTTAATTGGCTGTTTATAGTTACCTTTAATTGGCTGTTTATAGTTATAGATTATAATTGTATTACTAATAAAGATTTGATTTTTTATTACTTAAAATTACACAAAAACAACTAGTATTAAGATATACAAGTTAAAAAAAGAAATGAATTGAAAAGTTTATTAATATAACATGATAATATATCTAACATGATAACATATATAATATGATAACATATATAACATGATAATAATATACATAACATGATAACATATATAACATGACAACATATATAACATGACAAAATATAACATGATAATATATATATAACATGGTAAGATATATGACATGATAACATATATAACATGATAACATATATAAAATGACAAAATATAACATGATAACATATATAGAATGATAACATATATAACACAGTAAGATATATGAAAATGTTACCTGTTTACTGTGGTATTAGTAGAGTTATGGTTTCATAAGTAAAACGTACAGAGTTCAAACCCAACACACCTTTGGAAGAAACCCCTTTAACTCTACTATCACTAAACTGTTATCACATTATCAATAAAACTATGGCAATTTACATATTTTACATTTTCCATGATAGTCTTGACTAAACTCTAAGATTTTCCATGATAGTCTTGACTAAACTCTAAGATTAATTTTATAATAATTAAAACAAGTATTATTATTTACTATACAAAAAAATTTCAATGTGCTAAACTGTTTATAGAAAAATAAATTCCTCTTTATAATTAACTGGAAGTTTTATGAAATTATCTACTTAGAACACTGTTGGACAATGGCAAAAAGGGTATGGCCATTAGATTCAAGAGTCGAATTCAAAAAAAGTCCTTTGCAAATTGTTCTGCTTTATCCTTGGGAGAGCTAATGAGATCAACGAATTAGAGACAAAATGTTAGACTTAACATAGTTAATGACACTGCTGACGATCTCTATTACGTATTGTTATCACAATGCAATAGGGATGTTGATATACCTATTGAGTATTGTCATCACTACGCAATAGGGATCTTGATATCCCTATTATGTATTGTATTGATAAAAATAAAAAAAGATCAGATATTACCTAAATATAAAATATATATAAATAACTGTTAATACCACATCTTGAGCCTAAAAACCTACTCTCTGACAATAAACATAGATTTAGATTCTCTTGTTCTAATGCTAACTTATTAACCAATAAAAACAGAATGGTTCTATAGTCCATTACAAGGAAGCATTGAGACAAATGTTATTGATCTTAACATATCAAAGGCTTTCAATAAAAACTGCCAGGTTGTTCTTCTTATGCTTGCTTCAAACAATGTATCAGGGAAAGTTTTAAAATTATTGAACCATTTATTCCAAACATTAAAATCCCTCATCTAATGCCAATATAAGAGAAGAGCCTCATAGATGACACAATTAATCAATGTATGCGCTACATCAACGTGGCGATACAGAAAATTTTTTTAGCTTTGAACTATTAAAACGCTTTTTATTTTTAATTAAAGTTAGAACTATTGAGATGTTTCTAAATTTAAAAATGTATTAGTTTTATGCTTTTATTTTCTTTGGATTAATATAATATAAAATATAATATGAATCAAATGCTGTTTTCTTGTTTTACTAAGAAAGATGAATCTAACGACAGTAGATGTTAGACTACTACAGCTGTTTTTCATTAAAGCATTTTAGTTTGTTCTTAAAATCATTTACAGAAGTTGCATTAATAACATCTTGATCTAAGATATTCCAAGCTTATACAACATGGTTGGTGAAGAAATTATGCCTAGAAAGTGAGTTTCTTACTAATTCTCTTCTTAATTTCTGATCATGCCCTCTCCTAGTATTAGTTATTCTTTTAGGTTCGTTATGCCAGTTTATTTTATCTATATTGTTTTGAAATCTAAACATCTTTGGGTTATCATGACCTATGTGCATTGTCTTGCATTTATCACTATTAAAGTTTATTAGCAATTTAGTCAACCATTAGAAGAGATAATCTAAGCCTATCTGATAATCTGAAGGGAATTAATATGCAAATTTTTATAGTTTTCATTTATTTTTTATATCTCTTTTGTGTCATCTGCATATAATTTAGCTTTGTTATTTAAACGCAGTGTTAAGTCATTGATTAAAATTACAAAAAGTAAATGACCAAGAACTGATCCTTGCAGTACACTTTTCCCATTCGTTTCCCATTCTGATTATAACATATTTATCTAGTACTACTCTTTGTTTTCTGTTATTCAAAAACGACACACACCAATTAAGTAATAACCCATTTATACCTATTGACTCCAATTTGAGAAATAATCTTCTATGTGAGTCGAAAACGTTTGCAAAATATAAAATTTATTCTCCATTTATTTTATCATTCCTTAGGTTCATTTTTCTTTTCAGTTTATGGTTTGTTTAATTTTAATTTAACATAATATTATTTTAATTTAATGTTAATATCATAACAAAAACATAAGTTTAAAATCTTATTCAGAAAGTCACTTAAAAAAAAGTGCTTATAATAAAAAAGACAACTTGAATAAAATTGGAAGATATGAATTTATTAAAAGAAATAGTTACTAGTAAGGGTGAAGGAGTGAAAATGTATATAGAATTCAGTAATAATTTTAAAAGATGCTACAATTAGAGAATAACAACTCAGAAAGCATATTGAGATTTTTATCAAAAAAAAAAAAGAGTTTTGTAATATTATTTTGTTATACACCTCCTGATAACTGTCCACGAAAATAATATTTAGTTGCAAAAAACCGGACAGATTTTTTAGTCGTTTTGAGAACATTTAAGTTTTTGTATGTTTCTTTGTTTGTCCACAAAATAATAAGTTCATTTTATGGTAAATTTTGTTTTACGGACTTACATGGAAACATACATAAACTTGAATGTTTTCAAACAACTTAGTATGGAAAAATAAATAAAAAAATACTCGCGAACACAAAAAACCCGCCAAATCTACGAACAACTAATTCTTTTAGTTCAAAAAATACTAACTGAAATTTCTAGGGTATTCAAAAAAATACTAACCGAATGTCCTGATTATTCTGTTGAAATATTATAAAAAATTGTATTATTTGAGTTTTGTTACGTTTTTGTTGAGATTTCTAGCATAAATTATTTTAAGAATATACTATCAAACGAACTGTTATTTTAATTCTTGGAGCCACATCTACAAAGCTATAAATGTTTTAAACTAACAATATTTGTTTACAATAATTTACAAAAATTTAACCAAAAAAATGTTTTTAATTTATATTTTTTAACTTGTCAACGTTTTGTAAATATATTATAGATTTTATTAGTATATTCTAATTTTTTATATAGAAGGGATGTATTTTTTATGTATGTAATGTATTTTTATGTATGTAAAGTATTTTTATGTATGTAATGTATTTTTATGCATGTATTTTTTATGTATGTAATTTTATGTATGTGTATTTTATTCAAATGTAATCTTTTAAAGCAATATGTTCGATTGATTTTGTAAACAAAAATACTTTTAATAATAACTGCGTTTTTAATGAAATTATTATTAATCGTCAAAGTTAATACAAATAATTTTAACCACTAATCCATTTTCTTCAGTGTACCCGATAACTGATTATTTCTCCTAAGAAAGAAAAGTTTTAAAGTTCTTAGAAATTTGTTGACTAATTTCTATTATTTTTGCTTCAGCCATTCTTACAAACTCGTTATACTTAGAGTTACTTTTTTCTGTTTTAAATACTAATTAAAATTATAAAGCCCACTTAATAAAACATCATCAGCAGTATTGTGAAGCAGTTCTGCTTCCTCCTCACAATGTAATTTAATGTTTTTTTAAACTTCTATCTAGCTAATTGAATTTCTACAGTAACTCAATGATTTAATTATTTTATTTGTTCATCTTACTAAGAAATAAGGCATAAGTATATAAATAAGAATTAAGACATAAGTATATAAATAAAAACTGGAAATAAGACATAAGTAAATAAATAAAAATTATATACACTCTTTGATAAATCGAAGAACATTTGTTTCTTTATAGTTGTTACTTTATAAAAAAAATGTCGCTTAATTTTATTAAAAAAATTATAAAAGAGCTACGTTTTAAAAATAATTGCTCTAATACATTTATTTTGCTTAAAGTTTTTTCGCATTAAAAGCTATTTTTCTTTTTTTTAACTGTCTCTCATCGGTCCACTTGATTTTACTGCGCTTTTTTGTTTGTTTTTGAAATGTTCTCAAAACGACTAAAAAATCTGGCTGGTTTTTTGCAATTAAATAATATTTCCGTGGTCAATTATCGAGTGCGACCGCACCCGCTTCCCGACCAAGCCTGAATATAGTGCAAATATCATAAAAGAGCAAAACTAAGCAAAATGAAAACAAATGCTATCAGCTCATATTTTTCAAATATTCCAAAAATATTGAAAATAATATTCTTTAAACATGTAAATCTAAAAGGTTCTTTGCGGAACTAAAGGTTCTTGGAGAAAATTTAAGGTTCTTTAAAGAAGCTATGGGTTCTTAATATTTATATCATTTGTTAAAATTTAAAAAACGACAGATTATTTGAACTGGATTATAGAAGATGTTTGCATATACTTACAGCTTAAAGGGCTCCCAGAACTTCGACAAAAAGTTATTGGATAGATTGAAGTTTCTATTTATTTTCGAGCCATTATATAAGTGTTATATATGTATATATATATATATATATATATATATATATATATATATATATATATATATATATATATATATATATATATATATATATATATATATATATATATATATATATATATATATATATATATATATATATATATATATATATATATATATATATACATTTATATATATATACATATATATAATATATATATATATATATGTATATATAAATATATATATATATATATATATATATATATATATATATATATATATATATATATATATATATATATATATATATATATATATATATATATCAAGGACTACTATATGACAGGATGCGCTAACTCGATTTTCTGATTTCGCTAGGGAAAGCCATTAAATACGTCTTAATAAACGCTTATAAATTAAATTTAACCAAAAAATGTTTTGTAAAACCAATATTAATAAAATAATTTTACAGTGAATATAAGTTAGTATTATTATAAACTTAATAACAAAGTAAAAATTAATAACAACTATAAAACCTTTTTAAAAAGAATAAAATATTAAAAAGATTAAAATAAAAACTTTTGAAAGTTCATGTGCAAAAAATAAACAAATATTTTCCAGAAGATTTTATAATAATGTAAAATTTTTTATTATATATATATATATATATATATATATATATATATATATATATATATATATATATTTATATATATATATATATATATATATATATATATATATATATATATATATATATATATATATATATATATATATATATATATATATATATATATATATATATATATATATACTCCATCATTGAGTTTTAGATAATTCTTTGAACGAATGCAACAACAGAAATCTTAGGTTTATTTGTTAATCTAATTTTAAGCAAAAACATTTATTTATTGGACAATGGATTTAACACTACAAAACATTTTTATTATTTTATAATTGAAGTCATATTGGATTGTAAAATAAAATTTATTTTTGATTGTTTGAAAATATTATATTTATATAAATTGTTTAAAAATAGTTTTTTTTTCTTTATTGCTATATATTAAAATATATGTTAAATATTTAGGAAAGTCATTGTTTACATTTTAATTTTAGCGTTAAGTAACTAGCTTAAATATCTTAAATAATTAAATTAAATATTAAAAATCTATTAAATAATTAAATATTATATAAATATATAATAAAAAATGCTCAAGAAGTCAAAAGAGTATATGTGCAACGTTAGCAATAATGTAAAAGAATTGAACGGTTCGATAAAGAACTATAACAGGTTCTTTAAAGAACCTTACTTTAATGTGTTCTTCCAAAGAACTCTTTCAAAGGGTTTTTTAAAGAACTTTTACGGGTCCACCAGCATTAATGCAAAAAATCTCTAAAGGTTCTTTGAAAAACCATTCGGCTTAAGAGTGTAAAATGAACTACTAATAATGATAAGACAATCAAAAGATTTCAGATTATAAAAAAAAACTTAAACTGATTCTTTTTATTCTTAAATAAACTTTCATTCCATTTTTTGATATTTTTAACCAAAAAAACATTTATAACAGATAAATTTAATTTATTTGAAGTTTTATTATCTTATATATTTTAAATAATAATAAGCAAATTTCTTATATTGTTTAACATGTAAAAACAATATTGCAATATTGTTTAACATAAAAACTAACATTGCAAGCACTGTAAACATCATATTCTACACATACAGTTACTTTATATTAAAACAACAATTAAAAAAAATAATAGAAAAAAAAGGTCTGGAAAACTAGAAAATAGTACATACGTGAGTTACACTAGGTGATCCACGACAGAGCATTAACAAAACACTAACAATGATAGAGACATTTCCAGAGCTATTGCGTACTTCTGACATGCCAGAATTGAGATTATTGGGTGCATTTAAACTGCAAGATGTTGCAGCGCTTATTAACTTTTTAATAAGCTCATCAGTAAGTCCATGTTTGGCTAAAGGTGCAGGGTCAACACCACGCCTTATAAAACGATCAGTGACACAAGCAAAACATTTTAATGATGAATCTGCTACCTTGAAGAATAGGAAACAAAAAATTATTTTAGATAAAAAACATAAAAAAAATTAAATATTTTAAAAAAATTAATATCTTGAATTTTTTACTTTATTAAATTATTACTACTTATTTAGTATTAATTAAAACAAAATTTATAACAATCATGGTAGATAACAAATTAGAATAAAATAATATAAATATTTATATATGAGTAATAAAAATTTATATATATTGTTTGCTAGCATGGAACTTCAAAGCAGTTACTAGTCTGAGCAGCTGGCTGGATTAAAACAAATATTTGCAATATTTGCTGATTCGAACATATAATTTTGGATTTAACATTAAATTGAACAAAATAATTGTTGATACAAACTAAACATTTTAAGTATAAATCTCTATTAAAACAAACCTTTTCAAAGGACTAAAGTTTATAAATTGAAATATCTCTAGACTGAAGTTAATAATCAAAAACTTTTATGTATACTATCTAATTTATATGTTGTCCAACAGCTTGCTGTAAAAATTAAATCTTTCATGAAAATAATATAATAAATAAAATCTTTTATAGAAATAATATAATGAAATAAAATTGTTCAGAAACTTGAATTTTTAAATTTGTTTGATATCCTTGCCATTACAACAAAATTTATTGAAGCTCCTTAACATGAACTTAACTTAGCTAGGAAATAAAAAAACTTTAATATGAAATATTAAAGTTTTTTTATTTCCTAGCTAAGTTAAGTTCATGTTATGGGTAGAAACAAAAGAAAAAAAGGAAGTTAATAGACACTTTTAGCTTATAAAAAAACATTTATAAAAATATATAAATATGAAAATATACATACATAGTTGTCAGTATGATGAAGCAATTTTGATAAGGAATCTGTGCATGATTCTAAAGTTTCATCTGTTGTTTCCATCTTTCCACACAATCTTGCCACTACAGACATAGCAGAATGAAGTGTGTCTTTATGAATATGTGTGCTATACTCTCGAATAAATGTCAACATGCTACCCAAACCACCAGCCTCATAAATAGCACCAGCTTCTCTGGTGCACATAAGCTCTAGTACCTAATGTTAATTTGTTCAAATAAAACATTTTTACTGAACACTCTTAAATCAAATTCTTATCATAACTTTCCTTTTTTTTATTAAAATATGAAATTACCAAAATTGATTTACATAAATAATTGTCTTTAATTTAAAAAATCCATTCTAGTTATAAGAATAAATTTTGATTGATAAATAAAAATAAACTTTGGTAACAAAAACAAAAAATATAAAATTGAGATAATATCTGGTTAATTATTTTAACCAATAATTTCACCAAAATTCTGGACATTTAGGCCACTAGAATAAAATTTACTTGAGGTCTATATAACTTTTAAATAATTTACTAGAGCTGTATATAACTTTTAAATATGTAGTTATACAAAAACTCACTTTAACACATTGCTCAGCTAGATCTTTACTTGTTCGAGAAGTTACATCTACCAATACAAGTCTTGCACAAATAGCTTTAACAGCTCCATCAACTGTAACAATACGTCGTGAACATTCAGCAGATACATCTAGATAGTATGTTATTGCACGAGCTGTTACTTCTAAGATACTATCAGGTGTAGTTTCATCCATGAAAATATGACATAAAGCTGGTAAAAAAGAGCGAGGAGGGCAACTAAAAAAATTTAGTTATAAAAAAAAATTCTATAATAAATATTTTATCATATCATCAATATCTATCATATCATCATATCATCAATTTCTATAACATATGAACAATAAACGTATATCTTTTCAAAAGCATATTTATGTTTATTTTATGTATGTATGTATGTATGTATGTATGTATGTATGTATGTATGTATGTATGTATGTATGTATGCATGTATGTATGTATGTATGCATTCTTTTATACTCTTTTTTGAGTATACTTTCTATGTATAATATCGTCATCAAGATTTTTTTTATCAAATCAAATAGCCAATAATCCTTTGGTAATCTTCAGATAATAAGTCTGATGATTATGGGGGTGGCAAATTAGCTTGGTTAAGACAATTTGTGATGGTTTGAGTTAATAAGGTCAAGCATTATCATGGAGAAATTCAAAAATTGTACCTGTTTTTGCCTATTTATTTTGCATATAAGATAAGTATTTTTTATAATATCAACTAGTAATGGTGTCTCCCTTTTCAACATAGTCAAATTCTTTACAACTTGACCACGACTATTTTGATGTTTCAACAATTTAAATGCCATAAAAAGTGTTAAGTTATGAATAACTTTTAATCATTGATTTTTTCTAAAGTTTTTATTTTATGTGAAGGCTTTAAAATAAAACTATATAATTATTTTTTTTTATGATTGTTTACATAAACACGTGTGTAAATTAATAAAAAATGTTATATATAAACTTTTTTTATGAAAGAATGTATTTTTCATGATAAATTTAAACATGGGAAACTATTTTCCCATGTCTTCCTAAAAATCTTATAAAGCATTAATTTTAGAAAGATTTTTTTAAAGCTACTTTAATTTATGAATAAGTTTAAAATCTTTTGCAACTACTAGCTTTTACACATTTGTATTTAGCTTTTAAAGTGAAATATACATCAATCTAAAATAACTTTATTTACTAATATAAGCATGTATTTTGTAATGTTCATAAGATTAATTTTTATAATAAAACAATTTTTTTAAATCTTTTAAACAAATATTTTATTTTTTGAAAAAAAAATTTTTTTTCCCAATTACGATAGGAATGAATGAGTTAAAATCATTTATAATAATTTTTATAATAATTAAAACCATTTATAATAATTCGTTACGAGAAGCGTTTATTAATAAAGTTGTAATGCTCAAATTAAATTTAAATGCTTGTAGGCAGTTTATTTTATTTAAATCGCAGGCGCATTTCATTTTTTTATTTTTTTCTATTTTTATGAATAAAAGAGTTAGAAACTTTTTTTTTTAACTAGACTTACTAATTAGAGCATAAAATTTTTAAAAATTACTATTTTAAAAAGACTTATTTTTTTAAATTAATTTTTTTTTTGAACTTTTTTGAAAAAATAAATGTTTACAATTTAAAAATATAAAATACAACACTTTTTAATAAATTTGATAAAACTTGTTCATTTATTAAACAACCATTAGTAGCAATTTGTTACTTAATTTAAAAGCCTTTTGCGTAGCTTCAATAAAACATTTTAAAAGATTTATTTCAAACCCAAGCTTGATCGGGAAGCAGGAGCGATCGCTCTTGATTGCTGAACATGGAAATAATATTTAGTCGCGAAAAGCTGGCCAGATTTTTTAGTCGTTTTGAGAACATTTCAAAAAGTAAAAAAAAATGCGCATAAGATTAATTGGACCAATGAGAGACAAATACAAAAAAAAAAAAATAGGAAAATAAAACATCTTTTAACGCAAAAAAACTTTAAGTTTAGAACAAATATTTTCGAAACACAACTCATAATTTTTTTATAAAATTAAGCGACATTTTTTATATAAAGTAACATCTTACATTTGTTTAAAAATGTTCTTTATTTATCAAAGTTTGCAAGTTTTAGTTTTATCTAAGCTAAATTATTTTATAAATTAAAAAGTTAACTTGTAATAATACTTATGTATATAATATTGTATAAATATGTATATAATATTGTATAAATATGTATATAATATTGTAATAATACTTATGTATTATAAATAAAAAAGTTAATTTGTAATAATACTATATTTGTAATAATACTAAAAAAGTTAATTTGTAATAATACTTATTTTATGATTCGCGTAGTTTGAAAAGTTTAACATATTTGAAACAATTCTTCTTAGTAAGATAAACAAATGAAATAATTAAATCATTGAATTACTATAGAAATTAAATTTACTAGATAGAAATTAACTAAAAAAGTTAAAAATACTTTTATGACGAGGAACCGAAACTGCTTCATAATATCGCTGATGATTTTTAGTAGGCGGGCTTTTTAATTTTAATTAGTATTTAAAGCAGAAAAAAGTATAACGAGTTTTTAAGAATGGCAACTTATTATACAATCAAAAATAATTAGATTTAGTGAACCAATATCTAGAAACTTTTCTTTATATTTATTAACTTGCTATATATATTTATGTTCTGTTGTGACCTCAGGTGCAGTGCTTGTTCATCCGCGAGTTACTTTGTATGCATAGTTAGTGTTTAGCAACCAGAAACTTCTTATATGTTTGCTACATAATTAGTTTTATCAACTTTAATGATTATTAATAAGTTCATTTAAAACGCAATTATTTTTGTAAGTCTTTGTTTACATATAAATCAATAAAAAGCAGATACACAATATTACATTAACATAAAAAATACATACTCTTTAATTAAGTATATACTAATAAAATCTACAATTTATAATAAACTTTCAAAATTTTGACAATTTAAATAATATATATTTAAAACATTTATTTATGTAAACAAATAATAATAGTTTATAAGATTTACGGTATAAACGTGAATAATACAATTTCTAAAAAATTTCAACAGAATACTCTAGAACACTTTATTTTGCTTAGTCAGCGTATTTTTGAACCAAAAGAATTAGTTTGTTTGTTAATTTGGCAGGTTTTTAGAGTTCGCAAATATTCTTTTTATTCTTCCACCCCAAGATGTTTTGAGAACATTCAAGTTTTTTATGTTTCCATGCATCTAAAACCAAAATTTATTGTTTTGTACAAAAACTTAAATGTTTTCAAAACAACTAAAAAACCTGGCCAGTTTTTTGCAACTAAATATAATTTTTGTGGTCAATATTCGAGAGCAATCGCTCCCGCTTCCCGACCAAGCCTGCAAACCTAATTAAAAACATAACAAAAAGTTTCGCTTAGAGTTTAAGTTTTTTTTTATTTTTTTATTTTAGTGTTTATATAATTTCTTTTTCGTAAAGAATTTTTTTTTGTTAGGATTTTTTTTTTGGTTAGTTTTTTTTTTTAACTTTTTTTCTAGTTTAAGTTTAGCTTAGCGTTTCTACATTCAGAGAATTTGTGAAATGTTTGAATCATCAAAACATATAAGCAATCGTGGTCGAGTTGTCAAGAAATAAAATCATTTGAGTGGTCAACAATAGCGCTCGATCGCACGCCATTCTTGTCCAAGCCCAAATGAACAACATCTGTTGTTTTGTAGATGTACAACGTGTTTTTTGGCCCAAATCTATCGCATCTTACAATATTTCTTGAACTTTCACCTTCACTAACCCAACTAGCTGACTTGTATCCGACATGTTTTAAATAAAACCACGACTCATCCCCTGTAAAAATTTCACAAAGTCTCAACGGGCTGTTTCTGAAAAAGACTAAATTTCCCTACATACCTCAACTCTTGAAATTTTGATTGGTTAACTTGCTGTTAAAAACCAACATGATATTAGTTTTCTTTTATAAAGAACGTTGTGAATGATTTCATTGATTGTAAAACGAATAATTGATTTCACTGCTTAATTAAATCATGTGTTGTATGATTTCTTCAATAATAGCTGACACACCTTCAATATTATAAGCCGTATACGTGGTTTAAGGGTGCACTAAGCGAGGTCATCTTCAAGATTTTCTCTACCATCTTTAAATAAAGTAGCCAATTGGCAACTACTAAATTTTGGTGCATGGTCACTAGAACTAAAACCAATTCATTGGAAGGGATTTGGAACCGAGGTTTAAAAACTGGCTTCTGCTCCATTAGAATTTTTGGCTCCGGCTCCGGAAAAAAAAATCAAAATTTTTTTTTAATATTTTATGACAGTAACCTAAGTACTATTAACATTTCAGGCCTTGCAATAAAGCATCGGGTGATGTGAATTTTACGTCGTCCGAGAGCGACTTTGCGTGTAGCTAGGGCTATTTGCGTCAAGCAAAAAAATTTTTGTTTGAGTATATTTAAAGATATTTTTGAGTGGAATTTTAATGAAGTAATTCACGATTATTTTAACATTTAATAAAGTATTTTAAAAACCGCACGCAGTTTAAATAAAAGTTTGAATTAAAAAAAAATTAAATATGCTCATTATTTACAAGTAGAAAAAATTCAGATTAAAAAAAAAGTTTAAATCTTTTAAGCTAACATTTTAATAAAATTATTCAGCAATAGCAAAATTGTCGATAAAATTGAACAAAAATACTTTCTTTTAGTTTTAGATTTTAAACTTAAATAATTATTTTACGGGGGTTTGTTAGGTTTTAAAATTATTCCATAGATTTAAAAATATTTATTAACTGTTAGTCGTATTTAAAGTATTTAAGAGTAATTTCAAGGAAACATTTTAAAAATTGGTGAGCGCAAATAAAAAAAAAAAAAGGATTAATATTAAAACGTATTCTACTTGATTCAATAAAAAAGTACAGTTATTAAATTTTTTGTAAAATGTGACTCAAAAAAATTACTTAATAACGATCGCTTTTATGTTAAAAGTTACCGAAACTCAACGAAGCGTGCTCAAGAACAGCTGCTGAAAAATAAAACGTCAATAGTTTTTCGAATAATTTTTAAGAATAATTTTTAAGAATAATTTTTTCGCTGAAATATTTCTTTTATACCTGTAAGATTTTTATTCTAACATTTTATTTTATTTTACTAGAAATAAAATTCCTCGTTAACATTAAAAATCTTTTCAAAACGTTTGTTTAAGTTTTTTATTAATACGAGTGATTGTGCTTATCAACTGCTTTATGAGAAAAAAAATAAATAAATAAATAAATATTACAGGCCTTGCGATAAAGCGTCGGGCGATGTGAATTTTACGTCGTCCAAGGGCGATTTTGCGTGTAGCTAGGGCTATTTGCGTCGAGCAAAAAATTTTTTGTTTGAGTATATTTAAAGATATTTTTGAGCGGAATTTTAATGAAGTAATTGACGATTATTTTAACATTTAATCAAGTATTTTAAAAACCGCATGCAGTTGAAATAAAAGTTTGAATTTAAAAAAATTAAATATGCTCATTATTTTCAAGTAGAAAAAATTCAAAAATTAAAAAAAAAAGTTTAAATCTTTTAAGCTAACATTTTAATAAAATTATTCAGCAATAGCAACGTTGTCGATAAAATTGAACAAAAATACTTTCTTTTAATTTTAGATTTTAAACTTAAATAATTATTTTACAGGGGTTTGATAGGTTTTAAAATTATTCCATAGATTTAAAAATATTTATTAACTGTTAGACGTATTTAAAGTATTTAAGAGTGATTTCGAGGAAACATTTTAAAAATTGGTGAGGGCAAATAAAAAAAAAAAAAGAATAATATTAAAACGTATTCTACTTGATTCAATGAAAAAGTACAGTTATTAAAATTTTTGTAAAAAGAACTCAAAAAAATTACTTAAATAATAACGATCGCTTTTATATTAAAAGTTACCGAAACTCATCGAAGCGTGCTCAAGAACAGCTGCTGAAAAATAGAACGTCAATAGTTTTTCGAATAATTTTTAAGAATAATTTTTAAGAATAATTTTTTCGCTAAAATATTTCTTTTATACCTATAAGATTTTTATTCTAACATTTTATTTTATTTTACTAGAAATAAAATTCCTTGTTAACATTAAAAATCTATTCAAAACGTTCGTTTAAGTTTTTTATTAATACGAGTGATTGTGCTTATTAACCGCTTTATGAAAATAAATAAAAATAAATAAATAAATATTATATAAAATCGCTTGTAAAAATATTAGCTATTGCACAGTTTTTAATCGTACAATATTAAAATTTCCAGTTTATTACTCGCTGACTTTTTAAAAAGAAAAAATAATTATTTGAAAAACTTTAAATTACATATTTAAGAAAAAAAAAATCAAATATTAGCATATTTTATAATCTTTTTTAAATTTAAGTTATAATGTTTTTTATTCGTTTAGTATAGACAAAACGTGACAAACTCGAGAAAATAAACAAATGTTTTTACATTTTAAAAAACGAAACATTCCAAAACATTTTTAATTAATAACATTTCTACATAAACGATTTAAAGTAGTTTTGCGGTAATTAAATAAATTGGTGCAGTTAATGTCGATAAATATGAAAAGCAAATAAAAAGAATTTAATGACGTCAAAAATCACGTCGTGCTTATGCGTCGCGCAGCTCTTATTCATCGCAAGGCCTGATATTATATAAAATCGCTTGTAAAAATATTAGCTATTGCACAGTTTTTAATCGTACAATATTAAAATTTCCAGTTTATTACTCGCTGACTTTTTAAAAAGAAAAAATAATTATTTGAAAAACTTTAAATTACATATTTAAGGAAAAAAAAAATCAAATATTAGCATATTTTATAATCTTTTTTAAATGTTTAGTTATAATGTTTTTTATTCGTTTAGTAAACAAAATGCGTCAAACGTCGAGAAAATAAACCAATGTTTTTACATTTTAAAAAACGAAACATTCCAAAACATTTTTAAATAATAACATTTCTAGATAAACGATTTAAAGTAGTTTTGCGGTAATTAAGTAAATTGGTGCAGTTAACGTCAATAAATATGAAAAGCAAATAAAAAAAATTTAATGACGTCAAAAATCACGTCGTGCTTATGCGTCGCGCAGTTCTTATTCATTGCAAGGCCTTCATTTTGTTAATCAGTCTTAATTCATCCTTAACAATAAAGTATCTAAAATATCAGGTTTGAGTGACCAACGCAGTTCGAACGATACAAACTTAAGAGCAGAAAACAGCCTCTCTACACTTGCTTGTGAAATAGGTATACAAGTGATAACTTGTATACCTATCTCACAAGAAGTGTAGTGCACACTTCTTGTATTCTTTTTGGGTATTCTTCAATTCCCTCAAAATCTGAATTCACTTTTGAACGTCCCATTTCTTCCATTATCCTACAGTCATCCAAAAAATTTGTATTAAAAGTATTTTTATCAAAAAAATTAAAAAAAGAAGTGACTAAAATTAATTTTGGTCACATTTTTCCTTTTTTCCTTTTTATCATGCTACTTTTCAAACTCATACTCTTCTCTATCGGAATTAAATTCACTATTAGTGAAATCAAAAAAATCTAAAGTAATCTGTTTAGTTTTTTTAGTATTGAAATCTTGTGAATGCGATAAAATGACTTAAAAGATTTTCTTTAGGCCATAAGGCTCATTTCAGATTCAACAATTTTATGTTCTGAGGTGATTTTTCCAAATGCCGTTTCATATTGTAAACTTTTGATTTTTTTATTTGCATGGCGCGTGAAATTACTTTATTTTTTTAAAATTTCTTTAAAATTTGTCATATACTTTAAATTATATTTGTCATAAACTTTAAAGTATATGACAAATTTTAAAGATAAGAGAAATAATAAAAAAGAAAGTATAAACAAAAATAATATCAATAATAACCGTTAAAATCTTTTTCTAATTATATTTGGAGCTCACATGTTTATATCTATTTTAAAAATGTTTTAACTAATTAAAAACATTAAACCAAATCATGTGACTTAACATATAGATATAGTATTTTTTCGTTAAGGATTGTCCATAAAATATGTACATAAAGCATCGTCCATAAAGTACGTACATAAAGCATCGTCCATAAAGTACGCTTAAATGGATGAGAGGGGTCAATTATGAAAATAAGGAGAAACTAAATTTTAAAAAATATCATAAAATGAGTAGGTAGGTTGAAATTAAAAGGGTAGGTACTTTTTTACCTAAAAGTATCTACCCTTTTAATTTCAAAATAGTGTAAAGCAAAATGCAGGATGTGTGTGTGTGGGGGGGGGGATTAAAAAAACTAACGTACTTTATGGAAACCCTATAAACAATTATTGACATTGTTTAAAAGTATAGTTTTAAGTAACTTATACTCTACAATAAGAACCACATGACATATTACACAAAATAATTGGATAAAAATTAAATTCTGAAAAAATTTTTTATAAACCTTATGAAAAAATGCATTATCTAGAAATTATAATCATTTTAATGAGCATAATTGTTTAAATTCTTTAAAAAAATCTCATTATATAAAACAATAACTTTATGGAAATTTGATATTTCAAAATATCAAAAGGCAGGAAATATTTTAGCTCCAGCTCCGCCTCAGCTCCATATAAATTTATTTTTTAATATATGTTCGATATTCAAATTTTTCCATTTTTAAATTTTTCTTTTGAACGTGTTTAATAAAATTCAAATAATTTTTTTCACATTTAAAATATTTCAATAATTACTTAAAATGTACATAATCAAAATATGTTAATTTTTGTTTTAGGAAAGTTAACTAAACCTACTTAATTAACTAATTAAATAACTAATTAAACCTACTTAATTGACATTCTAAAAACAATAATTAACATTATGTCAACAGACTAATAACAATCCTGCTATCCATGAAAAGTTGTTAAAAATGGTGGGCAAGAAAAGTAAACAAGAATAATTAAGATAAAGAAAATCTAGAGTTACTTGCCTTTTTTTGTTTGCAATTTTACTTTAAAAAATGCTTACAACCACCTTTATTTTTAGTTTAAATTTCTTAAAAATCAATTTGACTGAGTATAAGAAATTGCAACTTTCTTCACCCAGTTAAGACCCTGGCATGAAAACCATGAAAGAATTTTTATCTTTTTGTTAATCAGTAATGCAGAAGATCACAACAACTAACCCTAACCCCAACAGAACGAAAAAAAATACCCTAACTTAGTAACAACAGCTATCCAAGAACTAATTAAATGTTCCTTCCTTGAAGACTGATACTTTATTGATCCTTCTTTTAAAATTCACACCTCAGGTACTAAGTGTGATGTGAAACAAGTAACAGAACCAGTTATGCTTGTAGTTGAATCAGATACAAGAGATGCATGTATTAGAGATGCAAGAGACGCATGTATTAGAGATGCATAAGATGCATGTATTAGAGATGCATGAATTAGAGTTAGAGCTTAACATAGAGAAATTTTACCTGAGCTACCTTGAGTACAAAAAAATAAATTTTATCAAGTTTTTTTTATGTAAACAGACTTGAAAGATTTCATATTATTTCATATTAAAATAGTAGTGTTAATAAAACGTCATTTAGGTATAATAAAGAAAAAGGTATTTAGAAAAAATTGTCATCAAATTTCACCTGTTTCTTGGTGAAATTTAATGACACTTTCTAAATATCTTAACTTTTGAAGTTTTCTCACTTTAAAAAGCAGTAGGGTACATGCAAAATAATAACTATGATAAAAGTATCAAACAGACTTCAAATTGTTTAAAAACACTATTTTTATTAAACATTTTATTGCAATCAAAATGAAGGACATTTAAAATACTTAAAAAATAACAATTTAAAATAATTTTGGAAATTTCTTTTAATGCAAACTTGGGTATCGTAACTTTGTCTGGTAAAAAAAATTTTAAAACCTTAAAAACTTGATTCAAATAAGAACCCACCAGTTCTAAGGCTTTTAGAAGAACAATTTCTCACTCTATATATTACATAAATATAATTTAGATTACCTTTCAAAACATCGATCAACGTTATCTGACATTAACAAGAGCATACATAGCTGTTCGAGTGCAATCACTTGCATATCTCTTTCATCTCCATTGCCCATTGACAACCACTCCAATAATATTTCAGGATCAATTTCTGACATTTTCAACTCGATCACAACATTTTACTTTATTATTACTAAATCATAAATTATCAAAAAAATAAGATTTTTAATCTATTATATTATTACTTTATTAGTAATAAAATTTAAAAAGTAGACTGTCAAATAGAACATACAAGGAGTATAGCAACACTTGCATATTCTACCTATTTGTCAGTCGATTTATGTAACCAGTAAAAAAATAAAAATAAAAACACTCAGAATGCTGTTTTTTTTTTTTTTTTTTTTTTTTTTTATAAAAACATTCTGAATGTTTTTAATTTGCATTTTTGTGGTTTTTTAAAAAACAATAAAACTTAATTAGTTTCCTCAGTTAATCTTAATGGTTTTTATATAATATAATTTTATATATATACTTTATTTTATCTTCATTAAACACAAAAAGTCATTGAGATTTTTTGAAAAATATTAAAGCTCTATAGTTCTTTATTATTATTATTATTATTATTATTGCTATTATTATTATTATTATATTTTACAGTTTTTTAATATGGTTTTAAATAAAATCCTTATTAAATATTACTGGTCATTTGAACTTTGGTCATCAAAAATGGATAAAAGTCTTTAAATATGTACAAGAGAAAGGTAATTGACTCACCTGCAATTGTAAAAAAAAAAAAAAAACATAAAAATTACTTTTTATTATGATTTTCATTAATAATTTAAAGAATCAAGTCAAAAACCCTATCAAACTCTATGCTGATATAGTAAAATAGTAAACATAAAAAATCAAAATGATTCAATAAGCCTTCAAAATGATATAAATAATATAATGGCATGGTCATCTACCTGGCTCACAAAATTTAATTATCAAAAATGCAAAATTATGCATATCGGGAAAAAACTTTGTGAATATTAGGAATAAAACTTGTTTGAAAGTATCTTAATTTGTATGGTTCATTAAGAAGTATTACTTGTTTATTAAATTTTTATTACTTGTTGATTAAATTTTTATTACTTGTTGATTAAATTTTTTTATTTTAATATGGTGTGTGTATTCCTTTGATAAAAAAGACTGAATGTAGTTGTAGCGCTACTAAATTTATGAATTTATAAGTCTAAATAAAAATCATAAGAAAATTTATTTGATTTTAGTATCTAAGAATAAAGGTTGTAACGCCCACAGAGATTATGCTATAAAAATTATGTTTGCTTTACAATTTATGAATAAATAATTGACCTAATCTTTAATAGAGTTTTTTTATAAAACAAAAAAAAAAAAAAAAATGTTTGATAGATCTTGGGAAAAGGAAATGACTATGATAGTTTGAATGAAAATCTCTTTAGACAAAAATATTCTGAAAAATTGTTGTTAGGAAAACCTGAAGCATCAAGGCTCAACAGCTTTTAATTAAAACCTGAAGCATTATTGCTCAACAGCTTTTAATTAAAAAAATGTAGCAGTCTTTTAAGAACTATAATGTACCTCTAGAACAAAATTGAAGTATTAAAGCATTTTTATCGAGTAATTTTACATGCAGTTTTTAAGTGAGTACCCCTCATCCACTTAATGGAGACATTTTTAAAGATCATGAGTTCCATCCATTTACTGTAAAAGACTGATGTGTCTAAAGACCAGCTTAAACCATAATAAGAATATTGAAGAACTTTTTAGCAAACCTGGGCTCTCAACAAATACTGGGGTGATTAACTGCATTCCTGCTTATTTTGCAAATCAGATAAGTGCTAACATAATGTCTTCAAAAATAATTCTACCCTACCCAAAAGCTTAACCACAGAAACAACTAGAAAAGAATGCCCAAAGAAACAAATCATGCCTTCTGACTTTTAGTCAAGTGAAGCTTCAAGTTGAAAAAGAAAAAAAGAGAGGAAAAAAAAAGAAAAAAAGAGAGGAAAAAAAAAGAAAAACCCTGGCATCAAAAAGAAAGGCAAAACTGATAAAAAAAAGAAAAAAAGTATATATATGCTTTAAATAAAAGGTTTACCTTTGAATTAGAATTAGATTCACAAAAAAAAAATGTAGATGAACTTTATCGCAAAGATAATAATAATAATAACAAAAACAACAATAATAATAGTTAATACAATAACTATTATAATTATATTTATATATATATATATATATATATATATATATATATATATATATATATATATATATATATATATATATATATATATATATATATACATACATATATATATATATATACATATATATATATATATAAATATATATATATATATATATATATATATATATATATATATATATATATATATATATATATATATATATATATATATATATATATATATATATATATATATATATTATACATATATTATACATATACAAACTTGAAAATAAATTTGAGACTATCTAACCCAGTTAGAAACCACGAAAAAGATATTAAATTCTTTGTTATTCAGTATTAATAAAGAAGACGACAACTTTGCATGTCTTGTAGCTGTTGTCCTGTCAGAAAATTTGTCTGTGTATCAATTTTTTCTCCTTTGCATAAAAAACTAAATTAACAATGTAAGCCTCCATCACCGACTAAATTTAATAAAACTAAACACCAATTTTAAATCAGATTTACAATAAAAAATATATTGATAATTATAAATAACTTTATCTAAATATAATAAGTGCGAAATATATTTTTAAATTTATTTTTTCCAATAAAGTATTGTACGCAGAACGATATATACAGACCGAATAGACCATAACAGAAAAAATATTTTTATGTTTGACCGTAGTAATTTTAAGCAGTGTTTTCGACCGAAAAGATTCCGGTTTCGTACAAATTAAAGAAAATATTATTTTATACAGAGGCTTGTCAAGATAATAAAATTATACCGCTAAAGCATAAAATTATTTTTAAAGCAGAAAATATATATTACTTAAAAAAAAACTTAATTTTAAAAACTGAAAAGTATTTTGAATTCCCTGTATAACTAATGATTTTTTTATAAATGAAAATGAAAAAAAGAATTACACAAAGTATTGAACAATGTAAATAAAATTGTTCAGTGTCGTTACGGCAAAAAACGTAAAAAACTTAACTTGCGTAACGTTTATGTTACGTAACTGGCGAAATTCGTTAAAACTCGGATTAAAAAATTTACTCATAGTGATTGATTGATTGATTGACGATTGACGTTAACTTCGTCTCCAACTGCGGTGCCGAGTTTGAAATTGAAATTCGGCTTTCAGTTGTACCGATGCAGGAATTTTCTTTCTGCACCGGTGCAAATGTTGTTGTCAGTATAGTATTTAGAATGAGTACGTCATATGACGTCATTTAATGTCATATTTTTTTTTTTTTTTTTTTTTTTTTTATTCAACCATATCAATAAAATTTACAAATTTCATCGTAAATTAATATAAATTGGTTAGGCGTCACTCATATAGTTACAAACTAGTCAATGGAGTGAATGAAATAAATAGAAAGAAAAAAAAAAAAAAAAGGAAACTGAAGTAAACAAAAAAAAAAACAAAAAAAAAAAAAAAAAAAAAAAAAAAGGAAAAACTTAATATCTGTATATATAAATAATAAAGAAAAAAAGAAAAGATTGTTAAACAAATAATAATGATATATGTAATAATAATAGTAATAATACAAAATAATAACAATAGCAATAAAGTACCAATAATATTAAGAATATTATAATACAATATAAATTGTATGTACAAATCATAGATGATAATTAGATATAATAATAACATAAAATGTAACATTAATAACACAATAATAAATAAATATAAGATTGGTAAATAATAAATAAAATAAAAATCAAACCACAAGACAACTATAATACAGAGAGAAATTATAAAGAAATACACTCCAACAATATATTTTTAAATTGAATTCTGTTGAGCAGTAAAAAATTCGTAACAAGTGGATATTTATTCTTAGACTTTTTTGTTAATGCAGGAATACACTGGTTCCATTGAGAGATACATTGTTGTTTTATGGAAAACTTACCATATTTGATTGTGCTGAAAAAAGAATAGTATAGCTTACTATTTTCTGTATTCCTGGTGTGATGATTATGAACTTCGTTTGTTTTAATAAAAAAATTTGAAAAAGGGCTTGGTAGTTTATTTTGGAGAAAGTCAAACACAAAAAGACAATTGTAAAACTTTACAAGATTATGGAGTTTTAGGATTTTTAGTTCAGAAAATTTTTTTTCGATATCAGATCTCATTGGGGAAAACGTCATTATTCTAATAGATGCGCGTTGTAAACTAGCAATGTTGTTAAGTAAAAAGTTTCTTTTTTGACCCCAAACAATACAACAATAGCAAAGGTGAGAAAAGAATAAAGAAAAATAAATCATTCGAAGAGTTTGGATAGGAACATTGTAACGAATTAGAGAAAGCATACTGTTAGCTCGTGTAAGTTTTTTTTTTAGATGATACAGTTGATTATACCAAGATAGGTTTTCATCAAAATATATTCCAAGATACTTTATATATTTTGATGGAAAAAGTTTTTTACCGTTAATTTTAATTTTAATATGATCAATAGTTTTTTGAGGGGAATGAAAAATAATGTATTCAGTTTTATTGACATTCAAGGAAATACGGTTACTATTTAACCAGTTACATAAGCGATGAAGATCTTGATTAACTTTTTTACAAATAGTCGTGAGGGATTTGTTAATATGGAGTATATTGGTAGAACTTTTAATAAATCATGCAACAGCAAACGTCAGTGATTAAATTTTTATTAAATATTTAGAGATAATTTTCTCTTTATATTTATAATGTATTATATTCTAGCTGTCCGGTCCCGTAATACCTGGATCATATCCAAACCGAGCATTTCTATACTTATCTATTTGACGCACATCATTTCTTTATTTATTTCTTATTTTAATATTTTTTAGTAAACGGTAGAATAATAAAATTCTATTTAATCATAATATAAATGCGTTTTTTTGGTCTTTTTGTTTTTTTTTATTTAACAAAATATAGTGCTTTTTGAATATTTCTTTTATAAATTTCTATTTAATGCTACTTTGCAATATAGTTGCATATATTTAGAGTTACCACTTAAAAGCTGCTGCA